TAAGTCTGTTATTGGTATATAGGAATGCTTATGGTTTTTGCACATTGATTTTGTATCCTGAGACTTTGCTGAAGTTGCTTATCAGTTTCAGGAGATTTTGGGCTGAGATGATGGGGTCTTGTAAATATACAATCATGTCGTTTGCAAATAGAGACAATTTGACTTCCTCCTTTCCTATTTGAATACCCTTTATTTCTTTTTCTTGCCTGATTGCTCTGGCTTACTATAATGTTTTTTATATTAACTCATCAAGTATTGAATGATTAAAGAGAAAATAAATTTTGAAGAGGCAAGGGAATGAAATAACTGCTAAGTTCCAAAAAGTCTTGCTGTGTTGCCTGAGCTCTAGAGAGAGGGCATTTTGGAAACAAGACAACCTTTGTGGAAACAAGACAAGCAAATGCCCAAAGAATTTTCATTTAAGCTGGTAGCTTACACATTCTCTCTCCTCCAAGCTCATACGTTTCCTTCAAAATACAACTTAGGTGTGACTCCTAGAATTCTTTCCTGACCTCACAGTTCTGGGTATCCTCTTTTTACTGCTGTTTATGTATTGATGAGCCCTCCCGATCTTTTGAATCTGGTAGTTTACAGGTCATTGGTCATATGACTGACATTTGGCTGGATGAGTAAATTAAATTCAACCAATGTTTAATAAACTGAATGATTGCAGGGAGAGCTTAACACTTGACAAAGTTGGTACTTAAATGTGTTGCTTGTTTACATGCTGGACACCTCAGCTAGACTGAAAGCTTTTGAGAGTGCATATTCTATGCTACTTATTTTTGTATCCCTGTTCTTTAGTAGATAATAATTTTTCTTATTATTTGTTTGCTTAATAAATTAATGCAGTTAAAATAACATTGACATATGATTAGGAAAATTATATGCACACAAGTCTTAATTTTGAATGTGTTGTATGTTATAGTCAATCTGTAAAGTAGTTAGGAATTCAGTTCTATGATTGTTGGATGACCTCTAAAAAGAGGCATGGAAACCAGATGCTGGCTGAAAAATTAAATTCAACAAGTATTTATTGGTTTGTGAATATACAGAAAAACAAATTTTAAAATTCCCCCTGAAAATTAAAAACCTTCAGGGGAATTTTCAGTAACGAAGAGTCAGAATGTGGTAAATGCTATAACAAAAATATTATCAAAGAACTGAGGGTAGTGTATACTACCTCAGTGAGGGAGCTTTAGGGAGATTTAGGAAGACTTCCCTGGGGGGGTGGAATTTGACTTGAACCTTGAAGATAAGGTGTAGAATTTGATTTCTAGAGAAGAGAATCTGTGATCACAGGAGAAGGGTCAACGCTGTTACTTTGGCTGCAACAATATTTCTTTTCAGTTGTCACAGCTTGGGAACTAAAGAAGAGAGTGTGTTCTTTGGCCTGGAGTCACTCATCTGTGTATAGCTTGTGTAGTCCCAAGTCAGATAAATGTAAATAATGGTCACTTAAAGTTAGTATATTACAAGTTTTCATTCCAAGTGTCAGTTAATAAGTTTTATAGGTTTAACAACTGATTAATTTGTTAATAAACATTATTTGAGTGCCTAATTTTTATAAGACACTTTTAGAAACTATCAATACAGTGATGAATAGGGCGAAGGGTCTGTCCTTAAGCGGTTTAGAGTCTAGTAATTCTATTTGTAATTGATCAGAATAGTAAAGCAACATTTCTCTGGTTGACTTGACTCCCATTATCCCTTTGACTGCCAATACTAACCCTTTCTTTCTAAAACCCGTCGGGTGGGGAGAGACATGCCTGGCCCTCCTCCACATCTCTGTTTCCTGAAAAATTAGTGTTGTAAGTGCATGTGGAAAGTGGGGTCATCTTCAGCTTCCTCCTCTTCCTAGGGACAGTCACTCTGTCATTTTCTTATGCCCACTTGCCCTCCCCAAACAGAAATTAGACATGGGGATTGGGAAAACATGAGAATTGGTACTGGGGAGAAAGGGCCTCCTATCCACTGGAATTAGGAAGAACATGGAGTTCTTTCCTCTCTCCAAACTTTTCATTTCTTCTCAAAAGAAAAAAAAAAGTCTATTCTTTCTCCTACTCTTCCATCAGTTAATCCTTGTTGATGTTGGCAACTTTGGGAATAAATGGCAGTTTTCAAGGACATGGATCTCACCCCATGATACTCTGGATATTAACAAATTAATTTTTATGCATAATATTATATGAAGTTGTTCTGTTTTAAATTCAATTAATATAGATTTTTAAAAATTGTATTTCGTGATTCGTGGCATATTATTGGAGGGATTACCACCCAGTTTTACCTATTAGAGAATCAATTTATAGCCATGGCCTTGGACCTTACAATTAAGTTTCTGAGCTGCCAGTCACATAAGGTGGAGGGATACCCTGCTGGAAGTAGTGAGGATGCAAAAAGTGAGTATTTTATGCCTGGTTCTGTTGAACAGAGAATCTGAGCTGTAAATATTTCTCCTCAAAGGAGTGGGTGATTGAGAGTTAACTAGAGCTATTTCCTGCTTGAGGTAGAGTCACAATATATGTACTATTTATATTTGTGTCTTGAGCAACAAAACAAAAGCAGGAGGTTGGCATGCAGAGGAACTGGAAGAAAGGCAATAGATCTAAAGCTGATCTTTGTTTTAAATAGGCTGAATATTCTACACTCATGACTCATTCTTTGTGAAAGAATATGCTGTTTGGCCTTTTCAGGGGAACTACAGTGCATCCTATGATTTAGCATCTCAATGAGGGCTTATTCATTAGTTGAACAAAGGCTTTTTTTAAGAAATGAGGATTATATTGTTAGTAATTTTAGAGGGAAAATGTCATTGTCCATTTTTACAGTTAATGTGGTGACCAAGGAAAACAGCCTCTTTTAGAAGTTCTGAAAGTATATGGGAAAAATTGTATGCTTGACTCTTTTTCTATTGGGAGAGTTTTGTGCTAACAGAAATTGAAGCTTATATAAGCACTGTTTTGTTGCTTTGGAAAAATTTTTTTTACCCTAAGTTTCAGGCTTTCAAAAGGAATTTATATTTTTAATTTATGATACATAAAATTCAATTTACGAAGTAATAAAACACTAATTCTTTTAAAATTCCAATGTTTTAAGTAACAGTGTACTAAACAAACATGTTTTTTTTTGTTCCCCTATATATTAATAACCAATGGTAAGTGAGTTTTAGTGTTTTGAGTTTTTAAAAAGATTTTAAAGGTCACAGAACAATTGTAGTCCCCCCCGCCATCCCCATTGATTATTAAGATCATCTTGCATAGTTTCAGCTTGTATGGTCAGTTTTATGACGGCACATACTGCTGTGGCAAAGCAAGGACTGCCTGGTGTTAACTAGGTGAACAAAATTGAGAATAGACTCTGGAAATTCAGTTGCTATTTGTCATTGAGGAACGGCTTGAGGTTACAGATCATGACTTTTGAATGAGACTGGTCATAGTTACTAGATTTTCTTTAGCCCCATTCAGCTTCAGGAGGAGCTTCTCATTTCCATAGGTACACTTCTGAAGTAAGTAAGACACCACTGCATTCACCATCAGTTCCCTTCAAAGGCATTGGTGTGAAGGACAAGGGAGTTGATGGTGAATGCAGTGGTGTAACTATAATAATATTGACTATGGGATTTAAACTGAATAAGGAAGAGAAGGAATATCTGGTGATAGGCAATAAAGTGGTAGCATTGGTGGACTGAAGGATTTTACTGATGTTAGAGGGTTGTTGGTCCCTAAAGGGTATGTGCTGAAAAGGTAAGTGGTGGAAAGAAAGTAGAATACTAGAAGCTGAGATTATAAAGTGCTTTCAGTTATCACTAATGACAAGTTCAGAAGTATAACTATGGAAATGAGAAGCTGAGGTAGGAAAAGATCATTGGAGAAAAGAGCTGAGTATATTGGAAGGATCATCATCATAATGATGAGGTGGTGTCAGAATGACTGACAGTAAGTCAGGATCTAAAAATAAGGAAATAAGGGCAGTAGTGACTTGAATGACAGCAATAAATTGGGGTAGTCAGTGATATAGTCTCATGACAGTAAAAACTGAGCTACCTGCAGAATAGTTTTAGTGGTTCTAAGGGAGAAAGTGGTAGATAGTTGTGTTTTGTAAAGTGAGAGGTATCTTCCCGAGAATTGCAAGAGTTCTGGGGTTCTCCTTAATTTTTGCTTGAGTCCTCCTGATGGAAGTCAGGAATGCTGCAGAAGGATTCTCTTTACCCCTGTCAGATAATGGACCAGAAACATACTCTCTTGATGACAGCCAAATTCATTGTATTGTTGATAGGGCTAGAATAATGAGTGGTTATTAATTGTCCTGTTTTAGAATTCACAAATCATCCATATGACAAAAAGCTAAAGACCAGTGATTTTTATTGAGGGGGATCTTAGGAACCTGCTAGGTTTTAACATTAAAATAACTAGCGTAGGCCAGGTGAGGTGGTGCATGCTTGTAATCCCAGCACTTTGGGAGGCCAAGGTAGGCAGATCATAAGGTCAGGAGATCGAAACCATCCTGCCAGCATGGTGGAACCCAGTCTCTACTAAAAATATAAAAATTATCCGGGGGTGGTGGGCGCATGTCTAGTCTATAATCCCAGCTACTTGGGAGGCTGAGGCAGAAGAACTGCTTGAACCCAGGAGGCGGAGGTTGCAGTGAGCTGAGATCGTGCCACTTCAGTCTAGCCTGGTAACAGAGTGAGACTCCATCTCAAAAAAAAAAAAAGACTAGCATAGTTCATTTTCCAAAGATACTCAGTAAGCATTTATGGTTTTCATTAAGACAGTTAAATTTTCATTTATAAGATAATTCTCATAATTGGTTAAACCTAAATATATGACAGTAACGATATTTGTTCTTTGTATTTTAGACTATCCCCATAAATATGGTCCTCAGGGGGGCTGTGCAGATCATTCAGTATTTGAAAGGATGAGGAAATACCAGATGACTGGTGTAGAGGAAGTAACACAGGTAAGGATTTTAACACTAGCTTGCATTTAGGAAATGGAAATGAACTTGCGCATGTATATCTACATTTAAAAATGTATGTTCTAGAATTTCTGAAAGATTTATACTGCTATGAGGAGTGTTTTTTTTATGCTCAAAGAGGCCAGGTAACTTGCCAATAATAAAGAGGTTGCACTGAGGTTTGAATACAAATATATGTGACCCCAAAAAAAAAAACACTAAAATATACTGTCTTTTACATGTTTTGTTATAACAGAAAACAAATGTTTTATATAAGTGTAAATATTTGTATTAGTATTAAAGTGACCACTTGCCCTGGTTTGCCAAGGTATTCTTCATTTTTAACAATGAAAGTTGTGTGTCCATAGATAATCTGGTTGGTCATATTAATAAAAGTCTCAGGGCTTTTCATATTTTACTTCTTCTTTTTATTTTCCTCCTTTTTCTTTAGTCATAGGTGACAAAGTATAGTTATTCAAATCATAAGTTCAAAATGAGAAAACATTTATGATAAAACATTTATCATATATTTTGGACATCCTTTTTAAAAATAGTATGGTAGAGTAATATTTCTTGAGCCATGAATATTTATATTCGCATCTATTTCTTGATCAGTAAAATGGCATAAACAATTTTGTTTCAGGTGGGTGTTTCTAGTATTAAGTGAGATTTTATTCTTTACCTGTATTGAACACATACATATTGATCTTCTGCCATGTGTCAGAGACTGTAGAAAGTTCTGGGAGTACGTGGAGATTAAGATGAAGGCTTATTCTCAAAAGTTTATGGTTTAATTGGAGATACAGAGAAACAATTTAGGGTAGTAGGAGAGAGAAGAGGATTAAGAATAGGATGATATTCTACACACAAGAGGAATAGCTAACCTAGCCTTGGAAGTATTTGAAGGCAGTAATCAGAAACCTCAAGAATAAGTAGGAGTTAGGTTAGCCATGAGGATATGAAAACACTATTCCAAGCAGGATAAACAGTACATATAAAGGCCAGGGAGACAGAAAGATCAGTAAAGAATTTTTAACCTGGGGGGTAGAGTTTAAGACTAGAGTTTAGGAGACTAATGAGAAGTTGTAGTTAATCAGTTGAGAAGTGATAGTGGCTTGCACTAATGTATTGCCAATGTGGATATAGGGGTTGAGATTACAGACCATTAGATATGATAGAATTTAGCAGGGTGGCTTGATAAAATATTAATATACAAAAGTAGGTTGCATTTGTTTATACTGTGAGTAGACTACCAGAAATATAATGAAAGAGTGGACATTATTAATAATAATATCAGAGAATATTATGTATTACAGAATAAATGTAACAAAGAGTTATAAGACCTATATAAGGAAAAATCAAAATTTTATTAAAATATTAAGGAAGATTGATTTTAAATAAATGGAGAGATATACCATATTAATGGGAAATAATATTTAATATTATGAAAATGTCAGTTCTCCCTGTATTGATTTGTAGGTTCAATACAAGTTCAATACAAATTACAACAGGTTTATTTACAACACTAATCAATGGGTCTAAAATGTTATATGGAAAAGTAAGGACTAAGAAGAATTAGGGCCCATTTAAAGGTGGTGAACAGGAAAGAGGGTTTTACCCTAGGAAGTATTAAGACTTACTATAATAATTGAGATTATGATAGCACAAGGATGGACACATTGACTAGTGGAATAAAAATGAGTGCTTAGAAAAAGACCCATGCATGAATGAAACTTTTTTGTGTGGTAGAGATGCAATCTCAAATTAGTAAGGAAAAGTCGGGACTATTAAATAAATGGATTCAGAAAAAATGTTTATCTACTTGAAAAAAGATGAAGTTGGATTACCACCTTACACCTTATTTACAATAAGAAAGTCCAGATAGATTGAAGTATTAAATGTCTAAAATGAAAACTTTGAAACTTGAAGATTTCTCCTTCAAGCTGTGATAGAGTAACTCATATCTAACATCAATAAAGTAAGGAAAAGTCGGGACCATTCAATAAATGGATCCAGAAAATATGTTTATCTATTTGAAAAAAGATGAAGTTGGAACACCATATTTACAACAAAAAAGTCCAGATAGATTGAAGTATTAAATGTCTAAAGTGAAAACTTTGAAAACTTGAAGATTTCCGTTTAAAGCTGTGATAGAGTAACTCATATCTAACTAGGCTTTCTACAATAAACAACTGGAAAACTGAAAAAAAAAGTGAAACAGTTATTTTCACGTTTTCAGCAGTGTTGCCAAGTTGAAGAGTTAGAAGTCAGAGTTCAGGAAGACCGAGGTGTCTGGACTTAATGGGCACAATACCTGAGAGGAGAGAACTCTGTTGAGAAAAAGCTCTGGGTATCTCCACAGGTGTTGCCTTCCTTGAGACTTAGCTGAATACTAAGCTGTGCCTGCACAGGATGAAATTCTATGAGAAAACTATGAGACAAAGAAAAACTACTGGGACTGTATGAAGTGAACAACTATCAAAATACTGGGACCAGCTGGTGGTTCATGCGTGTAGTCCTAGGATTTTAGAAGGCTGAGGCAGGAGAACCACTTGAGGCCAGGAGTACGAGACCAGCCTGGGCATCCTAGCCAGATCTCATCTCCATAAATTTTTTTTTCTTTTAATTAGCTGTGGTGGTGAGCACCTGTAGTCTCAGCTACTCTGGAGGCTGAGACAGGAGGACTGCCAGAGGTAAGGAGGTTGAAGCTGCCGCGATCCATGATTGTGTCATGGCACCCTAGCCTGGGCAGCAGAGCGAGACTCTTTCTCTAAAAAAATTACACATAGTAGAGATCCCAAGCCATGGTAGCAGGCCTAACCTAGCCCTAGGGTAGAAGCTACTCGAGACCTGCCCTTCCAAAGCAGAAAAACAAGCCTCAAAAATGTGAAACTGCTTTTCAAATAAATTAGCTGCCTGTAAGAGAAAAGCTGAATAATATTTGTTAAAGGAGGACGCTAGGTTCAGCAGTATAACATTCACAGTGTTAAACATTCAAAGAACATTACTAGATGACAGGAAACTGAAAAATGTGATTCATAATAAGGAGAAAAGCCACCTAAATAGAAAAACACCCAGTAATTATAGGCGTTAACAGGCAAGGACTTTAAAACAACTATTGGCTGGGCGCGGTGGCTCAAGCCTGTAATCCCAGCACTGTGGGAGGCCGAGGCAGGTGGATCACGAGGTCAAGAGATCGAGACCATCCTGGTCAACATGGTGAAACCCCGTCTCTACTAAAAATACAAAACATTAGCTGGGCATGG